TACATCCTACCTGGATGAGTAGTGACTGGGGTCTTAAAAGCTTACAAGCGATCATCTAAGATACAACAATTGGTCTCTTCCCTTCCGGAGCAAAGAAGAGTGAAGACCACAGACTCAAGCAAACAATTACTCCAAAGGACTAATAGACTACATGAATCATAGGCTCTACTAGCCTGAGACCAGAAGAGCTAGATGGTGCTTGGGTACCACTACTGACTGCTGTGACCGGGACTCTAATAGTAAGTCACAGACAGAGTGGGAGAGAAATATAGAACAAAATTCAAACTCATGAATAAGACCAGACTTACTGGTCTGATAGAGACTGGTGGAACCCTCGAGACTATGGCCCTTAGACTCCCTTCAATCTTGGAACTGAAATCACTCTGGAGATCATATTATAGCCATACAATAGACAGGCCTATAAAAGGAACAATAACACCAGTGAGGAATGCATACCTCAGAGCAGTCAACTATATGAGACCTAAAGGGCAGCATTTGCCCAAAAGCAAAGTTCAGAAGGCAGGAAGAGGCAGGAAAGCTGGGCGAATGGACGCGGGGAACCCAGGGAGGAAGGGGGAGTGTTGGCACATTCAGGGGTTTGCAACCAATGTCACAAAACAAGCTGTGTATAAATCATTGAATGGGAAACTAATTTGCTCTGTAAGTTTTCACCTAAACCACAATTAAATGTTCAGAAAGAAATAAAGAAAAAGGCAGCCTCTTTTTGGAACAAACTTCAACATTAACTCTTTGAGTATACTGTGTCTTTGGAGAACATCCCCTGGGGTCAGTGTTCAGGTGTTAGGAGCACTTGCTTGGGGTCTGCTAATGCGGGTCCACTTTGATTCCTTTGGTTTAGATCTGGCTGGGTTGTTGCAGTGGTGATAACTGCTCATGTCCATAGCCCTAACAAATAGGGGCTATCTGGTATGTGTCCCACCCCTTCCTTGCCTCTGGGTAAGCCCAAGGGCCTCTCTGCAGCCTCTGGAGGGTCATGGAGAGGCAGAAAGTGGACACTGGAGACAGGCAAGTTAATTATTTGGCTCCTCTTTGGATGGATGTTCTGGAAATGTTTACTCAACTTTTTTTTTTTTTTTAAAGCAGAGGCTGATGCTGTGTGGAGAAAGAGAGGAGGCCCTACCCCAGCCTTACTCAAAACTCTGAGACCTTCTTTATCCACATCTTCCCCAGAGCAGCTAAATGTGAAGCAGATCACAAGAGGGAGCTGTCTGACTTCACTTTCAGCACTCTCCAGTACAGTAGTACCTGAAATATGCCTAGTGTGACTGAGGAAGTGACTTTTGTAATTGTATTTAATTTTGATTCCCTTAAATTTAAGTAGCCATATGTGGCTTGTGGCTACCTTAGAGACAGCACAGCTGGTTCCAGGTTATCCACATTGGGCTGTTTGAGTCACCCCACCCCCTGTAGTGGGTCAGAGCTGAATTGCTTGGCAGGAGTGGTTGAGGAGAGGCCTAGGGTTGCCCCCCTTTTCCACTCAGGATCAGCCTCTTCAGAAAAAATCATTGAACAGTCAGTCATTTTCAAAACATCAGTGTGAAGAGAAACCAAATAATTAGCTTCCCTGAGCAAATTCCACATCTGTGCCCTGTCGGGCTAGTACTTGGCTTGTGTTAACGCTTAATTAACCAACCAGTTGCTGTCCAGTTGATTCCAACTCATGATACCCCGTAGGGTTTTCAATGGCTCTGATTTTTGGGAAACAGATTGCCAGGCCTTTCTTCCGAGGAGCCTCTGGGTGGATTCAAACCGCCAATCTTTCAGTTAGTAGCTGAGCGTTTAACTGTTTGTGCCACCCAGGGACTCCAGTGCTTAATTAGTACTTCTTTAATGACTTAGACCTCTCACTGCTGCCCTCCAAATTTGTGGGCTCATTCCTGGGACCAAGATGGGATTTGTTCCTGTTAGCATCACTAGGTCAAAGCTTTTATTTGTGGGCACTAGAAAAGGTGTTAAATTTCCTCATTGGGCCGGGGAGCTGCATAGAAAAGCAATAATTAAGAGTGTGAATCCCGGAGTCAGGTTCTCAAGCTGGATTCTGGCTTCTCCTCTCTCGTAGGGCGTGACCTACAACAAGTTACTTAACCTCTCTGTGCCTCTGTTTCTGTACCAATAAGAGTCATAATAGTACCTCTATCATCATAATGTTGTTGGGTAGAGTAACTGCTTGATTCCCACCTCCTATTATGATGATGGAAACCCTAGTGGCGTAGTGGTTAAGAGCTATGGCTGCTAACCAAATGGTCTGCAGTTCAAATCCACCAGGTGCTCCTTGGAAACCGTATGGGGCAGTTCTACTCTGTCCTATAGGGTCGCTATGAGTCGGAATCGTCTCGACAGCAGTGGGTTTGGTTTTTTGGTATTATGATGATGTTGATGATGCCGACTATGATCATGATGATAACGAAGATTTTCAGGAAGCCATTTGAAGGTGTGACTCTTCACCTGTTCCTACAAGGGGGCAGCTGCAAGTCACACATGTGCATGGAACAAACAGCCTTCTGTTTGCACAGCCTAATTTAAAATGTGCTTGACCCTTTTTTCTTTTAGTTTTTCTTTCTTTCCTGTGTTTAAAGAAAACTTTGAGTGGTTCTCAGTCTAGACCTTAGACGTGAGGCAGGCCCATTGTCTTAGTCATCTAGTGCTGCTATAACAGAAATACCACAAGTGGATGGCTTCAACAAACAGAAATTTATTCTCTCACAGTCCAGTAGGCTAAAAGTCCAAATTCAGGGCATCAGCTCCAGGTGAAGGCTTTCTCTCTCTGTCGGCCTTCTCATCAATCTTCCCTGGACTAGGAGCTTCTTAGATGCAGGGACCCCAGGTCCAAAGGACACACTCTGCTCCCAGCACTGCTTTCTTGATGGTATGAGGTCCCCCTCTCTGCTTGCTTCACTTTACTTTTATCTTTTGTAAGATAAAAGCTGGTGCAGGCCATATCCCAGGGAAACTCCCTTTACATTGGATCAGGGATGTGACCTTAGTAAGGTTGTTACAATCCCACCCTAATCCTCTTTAGCATAAAATTACAATCACAAGATGGAGGACAACCACACAATGCTGGGAATCATGGCCTAGCCAAATTGATAACACACATCTTTTGGGGGACATAATTCAATCCATGATACCCATAAACTGCTAGAGGGTGGCATGGACAATGCACAGCATGGTTCGGGGCTTGGCTTGGCAGACGAGATGATGTGGGTGCTGACAACAGTCCCTTACAAGCTTTCCGTTGTAGCTTTTCACACAAAACTAATTCATATTAATCAAAATATTGAAGTCAAGAGTAGAACCTGAAAGTGTTTAGAGACGAAGATTATTTTATCTCCCTGCGCCCTTTCCACTAACCGTGTGCCTCCTTTTGAGCATTGTGCGTGTGCCTTGGGGTCACTGTGTGTGAGGGGCAGTGGACGCGGCTGGGCAAGGCCCAGAGATGGGCAAGGCCGCTAAGTGTTACATAGCCTCTCTCCAGATGGAGAACTCTAAGGTAGAGCAGAATGAAATAAGTGTGCGTAAACCTTGTGAGGAGCTGCTGTGGGAGCACAGAGTATCACGTGGTTGGGGATCCTGGGGTCTTGGAGGCAGGAAAAGTTTAAACAGGAGGGGTTGGAGGGGAGATAGAAGAAAGCATTTCAGGTGAAGGAGCAGGTATGAGCAGGAAGGGGCATGGGAGAAAGGGGGCAGTGCTAAGGTCAAGTTGAGAAGAGAGTTTGGGATCAGATTGTGGAGGGCTGCAATGCAATGATGAGCCAAGGAGTTGGGCCTTTAAATTCTTGAGGATGTTCATATCGTTGGTAGCATAATGATCAAGAGTTGACCAGAAAAACATGGAAAATGGCTCTTTTACAGTATTTCTTGATTTCGTAGTATTTCTTTCTTGAGCTTTAATATCCCTAATGCCTAATCCAGGCTGCAGAATCAAACACCTATGGAGAATCAGTGCAATCCAGTACTCGTCACGCCCTCCTGGGAAGGCAGCATTCCCGCCGCCCAGGTTCCAGTGCAAGCCACAGCAGGAACCGCCTACCCGGAAAGGAGAGCGGTTGCTATGGCAGCAAACCCGCCTATGATGTCAGGGTGCACAGCCTGCCCAAGGGCAGAGCGCATGCGCTGGGAAAGCACATCTGCGGGCAGTAGCACTAAAGCCAATTTCTCCAGAAAGTTGTGCTGAACCATTATGTAGATGATACTCATGAACGACCAGTTTTAAGAGAATGCAGTAGATTGTTTCTAATCCTAAAATGACTACGAAGATCACTTAATCTTTAATGTCAGGACATTTTGGGGGTGAACTGTCATTTGCTTCATCTTATTTGTTATATAGATATTTAAATGACGAACAGGAGTACATTATATTCCTTTCTTCTTTGTGATTCTAAAATAACAAAATGGACTTTGGAGCCAACTTAGCAGAGCCAAAATTGAACCTGAGTGTTGTATTGAGAGCTCATATCTGTCCCTCAGCAGTTGGCTCCTTTCAGAGATTAAAATGATCAGAATCCATCTAATGATCATATGCAAAATCTTGTCCACTTTTTCACCTTTTCCTTCCCCCAGCTGATTCTACCTCAGGACTAGAAGCTGGTGCCAGGGAGGCCAGGTGGGCGTTTCTGCACACTGCCAGTGCTCTCCGTCACTTACCGCAGTTGCGGACCTCTCCAGGGCCAGGCCTGGGAACAGGGACTTAGGGGAAGGGCTTGAGCGTCTGTGGCTGCTTTTTGGGCCACCACAGCAGAGTTCGGTGGGTGAGTGTGGAAGCTGTGGCGCCCACCACTTGACTGTTGGGGCCTGGCTGTGGGTGGTGGGGAATGATGGATAGGGCCTCCTGTGGATGAAGTGATGGTGATGGATGACACATGCGTGTGGCATACACAGCGTGAACCCAGCTGCTTCTGGCACTCAGCAGATAGGGCAAGAGTGTGGCTGGCGGTGGCTTCTCTCTGAAGAACGGTTTCGTTGTGTTTTCTCCCTTGCAGGCATGGATGGATTTTTAAAATCTGACGAGAGACAAAGACTGGCTAAAGAAAGACGAGAGGAAAGAGAGAAATGTCTTGGTAAGTTGTGCATTTTGGATGTTTAGGTCCAAGGAAGTGGAGATACGGCGGTGTCTTTTCTGAAGACCTAAGGCAGAAATTTGTGAATGCATGGGAGGAGAACTAGGACAATTACTAGGTGGACATGAGGAATTGGGAGTAAACCTACACTGACTGGCATGTTCTCAAATATGACCTCATCTGGTCTCAGAATAGTTAGCAAACATTGAACCTTTGCCATGTTCTAAGCACTGGGCTGGGCCTGGGGATCTAGGCTTGGGAACAAATAGAAACAGTCCCTGCCCACCACCTGGGGAAGCCCCAGTGCCCCAACTCCAGTCCCCTCTGGGGCATCAGGATGGGCTGCCCTTAGTTGAATTGAGGAAATGGCACTTAAGTAATTTTCTGTGTTAGAATGGGGAAACCCTGTTAAGAAAGGCTGTCATACATCTCCCAAGTGGACAAAGAAGTACAGTGTATTCTCCACAGGGAACCCTGGTGGCGCGGTGGTTAAGAGCTCAGACTGCTTATCAAAAGGTCAGCAGTTCGAGTCCACCAGCTGCTCCTTGCAAACCATATGGGGCAGTTCTACTCTGTCCTATAGGCTTACTGTGAGTTGGAATCAACTCGATGGCAGCAGGTTTTGGTTTCGTATTCTCCACAGGGTGCTCTGAGGTAGATGGTGGTTTCCCCATTGAATTGAGACAAATGGAGATGAAATAAGGCGTTTTCAAAGTCTTCTGGTGACCTTTTAAGCTTCAAACCGTTCTTACAGCTCCATCTTGAGTTCCTGGAGAGAAAGGTCCCCTCTTTTTTCTGTGTGTTCTGTGCCCTCTCAGTGCCTGATTGCATGAGAACTCTTGGGTATCCCTTTCCCCTTCCTCTTCCTTCCCCTTCTCCCTTTTCCCTCCCCTGCCCTTTTATTTCCCCCTCCCTTGCAACCTATACCCTCCCCCCTGCATCATTTTCCTTAAGATGAACTCCTAAAAGGGGAATAACTTGATATGAACATTTTTAGGGCTTTTGATGTACATTTCCAAAGTATTCTCCAGAAAGGTTCCAGTTCCTAGTAAGGGTAGTCTCACTCCCTTAAACTCCTTCAGTGACACTGTCGACCCGCAGATAAAATTCAAGCTCTAATATGGCCGATGAGCAGTGATGTACAGGTAAATGTGGAACAACCAGCTCTCTTGAGGGGAAAAAGCCCTGATTTGTAGCTTTTGCTGATGCCTACAGTATGAATAAGGAGCCCTGGTGGCATAGTGGTTAAGCGCTTGGCTGTGAACTGAAGGTTGACAGTTTGAACCCACCAGCTGCTCTGTGGGAGAAAGATGTGACAGTCTGCTTCCATAAAGATTACAGCTTTGAAAACCCTATGGGACAGTTCTACTCCATCCTGTAGGGTTGCTATGAGTTGGAATCAACTCGATGGCAATGGGGTTTTTTTGGGGGCGGGGCGGGTGGATAGTGCAAATGGTTAAGGTGATCACTATTAACTGAAAGGTTGGCAGTTTGAGTCCACCCAGAAGCATCTCAGAAGAAAGACCTGGCGATCAACTTCTGAAAAATAAGAGCCATTAAAAACTGTATGGAGCACAGTTCTGCTCTGACACACATGGAGTTGCCATGAGTCAGAGCTGACTCCCCAGGAACCGATATGGTGTAAATAAACATCAGCAAACACCATAGAGATCAGCAAAAGCTACAAATCGGGGCTTTTTCCCCTCAAGAGAGAGCTGGTTGTTCCACATTTGCCACTGAAAACCCTATGGAGCATAATTCTACTCTGACACACATGGGGTTACCATGAGTTGGAATCAATTCCGTAGCAACTGATTTTTTTATATATAGTATAAATACTCCCACCGTAGCCAGTTTCAACCTACTCAAAGTTTAACAACCAGCTCACAAAATTCCTGAACATTCAATAACCGGCTCTCGCAAGCCAGTACAAGCTGCCTTAAGCACACTATTGCCTCTGAGGTCTTTGGCAATGCACCCCCTTTTTGTCTCCACAGCCTTGCCTCTTACCACCCCCTGCCCCCAGCACTTTGCTCCAGCTCTTAAGTATTCATAATGTCAAGTTTCTGGAGCCCTGGTGGCGCAGTGGTTAAGCGTCTGGCTGCTAACCAAAAGGTGGGCAGTTCGAATCCACCACCCACTCCTTGGAAACCCTATGGGGCAGTTCTACTCTGTCCTATAGGGTCTCTATGAGTCGGAATCGACTTGATGGCAACAGGGTTGGTTTTTAATGTCAAGTTTCTAGCGTCTTTAGGCTTTTCCATGAGCTGTGCCTTTCATGTAGAAGATCCTCCTTCCTTGACTGTCTCCTGCTGGTCGGTTTGGGCATTGCCTCCTCCAGGGACCCCTTACCTGACTTGGCCAGATCGAGTAAATGTCTTGAAGGCAAGGCTGATCTGATTCATGTTTTACCTCCTTGCCTAGCTCATATCTGGTAGATGCACAAAATAATGTGTTTTTGAATGAATATATACTTCTGTCATTTCTCAACCCAGCGTCTGGCTTAGCCCTTATGCACAAAACCAAAAAAAAAAAAAAAAAAAAAAAACGAAACCATTCTAAGATATCTACTGTGGAATTTAT